GTACAGCAGGAAGGTGCTCTGAGTTGGAGGGTGCTTCCATGAAAGCAAAGAAGTACACATGTGCTTACAATAAAAATTAAAGTACTACTTCTCTTAAAAGTAGAAAATTATTTGGTAACTTCATTCTGTCAAAATAAATAAATCCAACAAGTTATCTCCTGCAGTTTCTTTGTTTAATTCCTGATGAGCAAGTATTTGCATATCTACTATTTGCTGTTGTTTGAAGGCTGCATGCAATTTAGACAAGGGCATGCATGGCCTCGGGAAGAAGATGTGGCACGGCCAGCAGCTGCCTCGTGAAGGGCCAGGCTGGGTGCCCCTTGTCAGCAGCTGGAGGAAGAAGATGGTGAAGGCCAGCTGAGAGCAGCAGGACCAGCATGGCAGCAGGGCCAGCAGAGTGCAGGGTGGAAGAGTGCAGGGCGGACCAAAGGGCAGAGATGGTGGGGAGAGAAGCAGGTGGGGGGAGTTGAAGAGGAGGTAGTCCCCTACCTTACCAAGGCACTGGGCTGGGGGGACCAAACTGGGAATGGCTTGGATCTGGGTGGGTCTTCGCCTAACAACCAGGGATTCGGTTAACGATGGCAACTGGGACTGCTGGGATTGCCGTCGCTAAGCAATGCAGTCACATGACATCTCGCTTTACAACCACATTGCTTAGCGATGGAAATTCCGGTCCCAATTACTGTAATTAACCGAGGACTACTTGTACAGTAAAGTGGTATACACCTTTTATAAATATATTATCATTATTATTATAAACATACTGTAAATAAAAATCGCTGTTAGTGCTCATGATTCCAGTTCACACACCTCAGTCTTCTAGTAAGCTTGCTGTTAGAGCTCACAAGATCTATGCTACAGGAGATCTAAAGGTTTCCTGCTGATTTTAATGTTCATCAGTGAGGACGTGAAAATAATTTACATGCTGCTATTGCTTTTCTAATATATCTGAGCTAAAAACTGTGGCAACCTAAAAACTGTTTGCCACTCCTTGGTGCGTGTTCTCTCGAGGAAAGAAGCTTTTCAGTTCTGAGAAACCCACAACTGCACTATCCCTACATTTGCTTTCGTGTTCACCTGTATGCTTCGCACAAATTTGTCTTTCATAAGAGTTTCCAGGATGTCACATTTTGAATTAAGGACTCATTTTAAATTACATTTATCCAACACAAATGTTTAGCATCCATGCAGAGAAAACCAAGCATTATTTATATAAGAGTTATTTACATACAATTTTTCTCTAATGGTTCTATATACACCATAAGGTAGCTGTATGATACTAGCTCCATATAAATAAATGAGAAACTGGTGTTGAAAGGTAGCAGTTTGATTGCCTAAGACCCCACAATCTGTTCATGACCCACTTAAAATTTCAACTGGGGAGTGCACATTAAATTTTATACATGCTGACAATTCAGAGGGCAAAAGAGATGATAACCTATCTATACTATACCTATTGTCTTCATTTTTGTAATCTAGCTGAAAATTGATGTCTTTCATTCTGAAACTGCAGAGGCATGATTAATGAGTTGCTTAAGTCAGAAGAGCTGCACTGAAGCTACTATAATTCTTTTTACCTGACTGCTGAAAAAGAAAACTGTATTAGTGCAAGAGTTACAACTAGAGTTGCTGGAATAGTTTGTTAACTGCAATTACAGATAGTATTAACATAATTACTGCGGAATGTAACTGTAACTAAACTGGGGTTATAATTAAGGCTGCAATCCTACTGGGTCCCACTACTGAGTGAACACTACTCTGCAAAAGTGTTTTTAGAGCTCATTCCTCTACTTAATATAAATCTAATTTACTGTTATGCATATGCTTCTAGCACTTTATTTAACCAAGAGAACTTCCCTTTGTGAAGTCTTTATCCTTAGCTTTCTTGGGTCTCAACATTTGAATCTTTACCTTTAAGAAATCAATAATTTGCCATAAACCTATGACCAGAACAGTGCTGTAGTATATAATTTACCTTCACAGATGGTATCGTCTGCTTCATCAAGCAGAATCTGATCTTCTTCTTCCAAATGCATCATGGCCATGAGTAAGCTGAACAGCTACTGAACGTTAAAGCTACTTTCAATACTACAATAGATTTACTTCCTTGCATGAGCTCCTTCTCTGCTGTTGGTTGCAACAACTTCCTCATCTGTACTACTAGAACAGTCTCATTTACATGAGCAAGGTAGTTTCTGCTTTCTCTTCCCCTTTCTTGTAGCTTTTGAGATTTGAAGTGACTATTTCCTCTAGTGCAGAGAATATAAACCACTAGGGTTCAGAATGCAGAATGAATTAATTTCACAGTGCCAGTCCACTTCTAAAAGACTCAAAGGAGCTCAGTTACATAATTAGCACATTGTTTAAAGGAGAAAGAAGAGTAGTTATATGAATTTGGTGTTTTTTTTAGATTAGGAATATTTCACCCCACAAATTCTATGAAATTTAAATGTTTACACAGGTATCAAATATATAACCTTATATATAACTGCCTCACAACTAAATGTTTCCCATGTAGAAGAGATTTCAACATGAGATATAGCTTACACATGTACACCTTCATGTATGAAACTGCATGTACTGCTTATGGTTTGTGCATAAGTTGGAAAATCAATATCAGACAGATTTGCCATGAAGAACCTATGGCAACCTGAATGTGTTCACAAATTATTTCTTACATTAAAACAGAGTCAAGTTCTTATTGAAGAAATTAAATATGTATCTTCAGAAATCTGGTAAATAGTTATAGGTGATCCTTGTTTAATGACCACTCATTCTGTGATTGTTCAAACTGATGACCGCACTGAACAAGTGGTAGTTACGATTGGACTTCATACTTATGGCCCTCACAGCATCCCGCGGTCAAGTGATCATGATTTGAGTCCTTCCCTGTCGGCTTCCCACAAGCAAAGTCAATGGGGAAGCCAGCAGGAAGTCAGAAGGCATGGTCACTTGAGGTCCTCGCTTAACAACCCATGTGGTCCTCATTTAATGACATCAGCCAGGACTGTTGTAACTGCCATCACTAAGTGACGCGGTCATGTGGTTTTTTGACTTACAACCACAACTCCACTTAATGATGGAGTTTACGGTCCCAATTAGCATAATTAAACAAGGACTACCTGTAATTTTATTTTAAAGGCAGGTTGTTCTGAAGTACTGCTTTTTGGGAGACTGTTTAGTTTAAGAAGGCCTTCTTAAATGAACAATGCAAAGAAATTGAGGAAAACAATAGAATGGGGAAGACTAGAGATCTCTACAAGAAAATTGGAGATATGAAAGGAACGTTTAGTGCAAAGATGGGCATGATAAAGGACAAAAAAGGCAGGGACCTAACAGAAGCAGAAGAGATTAAGAAGAAGAATGCTCAAACTATTGCACAATTGCACTCATTTCACATGCTAGCAAGGTTATGCTCAAAATCCTACAAGCTAGGCTTCAGCAATACATGAACCGAGAACTACCGGATGTACAAGCTGGGTTTCGAAGAGGCAGAGGAACTAGAGATCAAATCGCCAACATTCGCTCTTTGTCGGCAAGGTGACGTCTCTGCTTTTTAATATGCTATCTAGGCTTGCCATAGCTTTCCTAGAATGCTCAAACTATTGCACAATTGCACTCATTTCACATGCTAGCAAGGTTATGCTCAAAATCCTACAAGCTAGGCTTCAGCAATACATGAACCGAGAACTACCGGATGTACAAGCTGGGTTTCGAAGAGGCAGAGGAACTAGAGATCAAATCGCCAACATTCGCGGAAAGCTATGGCAAGCCTAGATAGCATATTAAAAAGCAGAGACGTCACCTTGCCGACAAAGATCCGCATAGTCAAAGCTATGGTTTTTCCAGTAGTAATGTATGGCTGTGAGAGCTGGACCATAAAAAAGGCCGAGCGCCGAAGAATTGATGCCTTTGAACTGTGGTGCTGGAGAAGACTCTTGAGAGTCCCCTGGACTGCTAGGAGGTCAAACCAGTCAATCTTAAAGGAAATCAACCCTGATTGCTCATTGGAAGGATCGATAATGAAGCTCAAGCTCAGATATTTTGGTCACCTAATGCGAAGAGAGATCTCTTTGGAGAAGACCCTGATGCTGGGAAAGATTGAAGGCAAAAGGAGAAGAGGACGGCAGAGGATGAGATGGTTAGATAGCATCACTGAAGCAATGACCATGAAACTGAGCAAGCTCAGGGAGGCAGTGAAGGACAGGAAGGCCTGGCGCAATATGGTTCATGGGGTCACGAAGAGTCGGACACGACTTAACGACTAAACAACAACTCTTGTTTTTCTATTATTCCATAGCCAATTTTGAAGCTCACAAATAGGATATGAAGGCAATTAACTTCTTGTTTTATTTATTCCCACCAAACATTAATCAAAATCTAATATATGGAGATGTGATTTGCTACTTTGGTTAGTTTTGCCAGCCAACTAGACTAATGTGTTTTCTACAATATAGCCTTCAGCTGTTTTTCTCCCGCTTGTAAACTGGCTGGAAATAAAGCTGGTTTAAGAAATTGCTTCCCAGATTTCAACCTCTTCCTCTGTTTTAGCTACTGTGATGGCCTGATGTTCTCTTCAGGCCAAGTTTACCAAGGCCCTGATGGGTAGATTCTCAGGAGGAGGAGAAGAAATAGAAGACGATGACCCCAGCTTTTACTATTCCACTGGTGAACTTGTAAAAAACATGGCCATGGAGAACAGCAACCTATGACTGAATGGGAGGGACCATTTCTGCAGTGCACAATAACCAATTAGAATTTAGGTGTTTGCCAACAATGAAATGAAACAGCACTACTTGAGCTGGTACACATGAGAAAACCCTTGTGTTTGACATGTAGAAGAACAAGAAGGGCGGAGGTTGTTTTCCTGGTGGGCTGGTTTTGGGTACAGGATACCATTGTGTGTTCCTGTCCTCATGAAACAATCAGTGGTGCATACTCACTCTGAGCAAGCTGGTCACGCGGATCAGCCCTAAGCCAGTTAAACTTGCTATTAAAGATTCGATGTCTTTTCTAAACTGAGCTGGATTTCTACATTTAATTGAGCTGTGGTTAGTTAGTGGCCTACTGAATGAACCCAAATTGAATAGGTTCATATAAGAAGCTACATAATACAATTTAAAACTACTCAAGGCTGGGTTAGTATAACAAATTAAATCAAAAGCAAACCAGCCACATTATGTCATAGCATGATATACAAAAACCCACAACCACTCAAAATTCTAGATGACTTCCACTATCCTCCTTTTGATATATATTTTCTTCAAAGACAAATTCTAGCTTTTGTATTTCTGATTGATTTAATTTAAAAAATTAACTTCTTCATTCTGTCACAGAAGTCACTATGCATCATTTTCAAATATAGCATAGAAGCGTTTAGACATTTTATGCTATTGCTAAAACATTAAAGAATGAATCAAGTTAGTACTTTGTTCTTCTTATTACACTAGTTTCTCCCTTGGATTTGTTTTCTATATACAGTGGTACCTCGGGTTACGAACGCCTCTACTAACGAACG